TTTCAAAGATGTTACATAGATGGTCTTTTGTTTAATATACAGTCCATCTGAATTTATTATGCAAATCACATAAACCTCAATAAATCAAATTTGCTCTGAAAAATTGCATTTGTCAAAATTTAAGCAATTAATCTTGACATTAAAACAAAGCTTGAGTTAAATTTTGAGTTAGTTTCAATATTTTTTATTAAACTTATTGGAATTATTATAAAAACTGCAGTCTTATAGAACAATTAATATGCATGCATGGTAAATCTTTGAAGTATTTCCATCTTAATATAGTATCCATTCTTCTCAATAACAGCAAGCAATATATTGTGGGATCATGTTGAGATAATAGACAACACCATTGGAAAATTCGTAAACTTAAGGAATCAGCACATATGCTAGGCCACAAGAATCTCCTGAGCTGACCAAGCATAAAAATTAATACAATATAGGAACCTCTAATAAGGAGTGCCAGAGAAAAGCAATGATAACAACATAGTTGCAATATGAGCTCTGGTAAAAACATGAAATGATAACAGCAAAATTGCAATATGAGCACTAGTAAAAATGGTTGCTGAAGACATTAGGTTTATAATACTCAGAAATTCATACCTAGATGTTCTCAAGGACAGATGGCACAGTGGATAAAGGCATTGGTTAGATCCAGTGACAGAACCTGGTTAAGGTAGTGGAGAACTTTCAGAGGGAAATTAACAGGAGATAACTGATAACTGACATCCATCAAACATGGCACGTGGAACTAGAACAGTCTACCCCGGTGAGTGAAATAAAGGGTTCAGTTCGATATTCCAACCACCTGAAGAAGGCCAGAGCATACAACGGCCGAAACGTTGTGATAAATATGGTGACAAAGATGAGGACAATAGTCCGAATAATGTAAATAATGAAGCAATATATTATCCATTGATTTTACTTCAACAGGTTTTGTTTCTGACATGGTGATTTTAATTGCTTCTCATAGGTCTGCTTTGTTGTCATACTGTTTGCCAACTTCATATAATTTAATCTTCATAACTGACCATAGATTTTTGATCTGATTCAGATTGGAATTTGATGGCAGACATTCCATTATCTTCTCTCCTGTAAACCATTTACACTAAAAAAAATTCATGGGTAACCTTAGATATATGAGAAGAAGCATTGTCATGCATAAATACACTCTTCACTTTGAAACTACGAGACTTTGGATAAAATTTATCCTTTGGCCCATCCATCAGGTCCATCAAGTGTCACCCAAGATTCGACCATAAAAATTACTTATTTTCTATACTGGGAGGTGTTTGCCTAGGAGATTTTTTGACAGATCCCAATTTACAGTTTTCTACACCTTTTGTCCTTCCTGACTTTGCCAATTCCAGCCTGTTCAAAGATTTAAGCACTGGTCAAAAGTCATTGTTTCACTATAACTTGCTTTAGTTTACATTTCATTTAAGAAGTTCTTCAAACCTTTTCCTTTGCTTCTAATTCTCAATTTTCAATAATTCTCTGTTGTTCTTTGATCTCTGTGAATCTCTTTTGATAAATCCAAAGTATATATTTCCTCACTAAATAACTTTATCATTTTCTATTTTTCATTATTTGCTAGATCCTTTCTATTACCCATGTTTCCCATTATATAATCTGGAAAAAGAAAAAGTAGTTTTTATTGGATTTCTGAGGCCTTAAACAAATATTAGTTTGATCTGTATAATGAATTCAGTTTTTATAATAAACTTTTATTAAAGTTATTAAACAGTTATTAAAACTTAAAAAAGTTATTATTTTATTAAACAAGTGAAATCCACCTAAAGATTAAACTCACGATATTTATTGTAAAATATACAATTGTGGCACAAGGCCAAAAAAGGGGAAGGGAATGAAGCTGGTTATCACTAACTATCTTATACCTAGCCAATCTAATTCACAATCCATTCACTCATTACAATTTTTGCATTCACCATAAAAAATCGTCCGTCACTAATCAATCCTCCATACACCATAATACCACATCCTCTCATTGGCTACAGAAAACACACTCCATACTTGTTTAAAATTTCACATAAGGTTTTCAAGACAACTGTTTGAAATTTATTTTATTTGCATAATTTCTTCAGATAGATTGTATATAAAGAAAGTCCTTTTGACACAAGCTTGTATATATGCATGTGCATAAGTTCATCCTTCAAAAGGAATCTTCAGAATAAATAATATTTTTATTAGTGAGATCATATATATGTTAGGGGAGGAAATAAAATACAAACAAATTTTGGTTATATTTATACAGCAAGAGAAACACTGAAAATGCAGCGATGTTTAACTTAAAGATTTAGATTTTAAATTTCCTGGTATCTAATGAGTTTAGATACACAAATGAACCAGCCTCATTCAGTTTCTGTCTGCTTCAGTTTTTGTTTTTATCAATGCTCAATGCTGTTCTTAAATATCCCACATTGTAATAGTAGCAGTTCTCTCATATGTGTGTGTGTGTGTGTGTGTGTGTGTGTGTGTGTGTGTGTGTGCATGCGCATGTATGCTGAGAGAGAGAGAGAGACTGTGTGGACAGAGGGATCAAAACTGCATGATGACTCAGTTTTGTGCTTCAATGTGATGCAATTCCCAGACCAAGTGCCTTTATTCCTTTAGTAGGCTTAAAATATTAGGCTGTGCATATAGGTTACTGGGGGCTTAAGGAAAGTGTGGGAAGGGAAAATCAGTCCTTCCCAGTTTCCTTTGTTTAGAGCTAATGCTGAGGATTATTTAGGCTTCTAGATTGCATATTTATGCTGACTGGGTTGTTGAAGAAAGTGTGTGTATTTACACATATCAAACACACACACACACTCACATGCACGCATACACACACACACACACACACATATATATGTATTATCTATTATTTTATTTATCTGTAACTGCATAGCAAATTACTAAATGAAACTCCATAGCAAAATACTAACTGTAATCAGTTATCACAAAATTGTAACTGATTATAAGATAATTTAATGTACAAAGCGGTGGTAGGAACCAAAGGAGAAACTTATAGGAGTTAGGGAATGTCCTTAGAAACAGAGAAGCTAACATCACCAAATATTATTTAGCAATGGAACAACAAAATATGTGTAAACAAGAGAACCTTCACAAAGCATATATGCTGACACAAAAACACAGGGTAAAAAGCACTAAAATAACATGGGAAAATAAGAGAAACATCGCCAGCTTACAACAACACCTCAAAATCATAATCTCAGTATTTTAAAGTATCACGTCATCATGTTTAATCTGTGTTAAACTTTGATACTTTAAAAAGCTGAGGTAGTGTGTGAAATAACATGAAAAAAGACACAATAAATACACAGGTGCATTATCCACAAAAATGTTTTCATGATAGTTCATGAAAGCCAAAAGTCCAAGAATTATCTATAAAAATGAATGTATAAACATAAAAATGTCTTAAAATAATTGTCAGACTTTGTCCATTTCATAATGTGTGACATCATTTGTTTACATTTGGATATGCATTGAGCAGATATGAATGTACGTGAGAAAATCATGGAAAATGAGCAATGGTAAGAGGAAAAATATCATTGATGCTTTCAGTAATGGTACCAACATTCATTCTTTGGCTTCCATCTTCAAAGTTCATTCAAGAATTAAGGAAATGGTGAATAAGTTTAAAAAAGTGGGAACAGTAGAGAGGAAAATTGGATCAGGAGAGGAAGAGGGATCATCATTTCAACTCACAGCTAGATATATACTTATAGTTCAAAGTAGCATCCAATAGTGTTATAAAAACCTCAGAGAATTCCAGTAAGATATCTTTAATCATTTCTAAGATATAATGATTCAAATTTAATCTAACAATTGGGCAATTTTGCCGTTACACCAGATAGATATATACATATATATATATATATATATATATATATATATATGCAAACGAGGGTCTTTAATGTCATCAATCCTGACTCAACTTCAATCATTTTCCCGCCTCTCTAACATGGCATCCCTTTGTCTTTTCTATAAATATTCTCATAGCAATTGTTCGTGGTGCCTGAACCACATGAATTTTAGTGTTCTACTAGATAGAAAACGAGGTCTTGTGGTTTTACTATTAAAAAAGCTATATGTAAGTATAAGTTCTATTCTAATACTTTCTTTTCTTGCACTTAACACATTTGTGACTCTCTTCTGATTTCTTGCTTTTCTGCCACCTGCAATGTTCAGAAATGCAACTTCAATCTTCTCTCTTCCTGGATCTTATTCTTTTATTATCCTTTCTCCTCACTAAAGACTTTTCATTCTCTTCCACACTCAATAAGGATTGCACCCTAGTGGCATTATCACCTTTTTGGGAATGAAATGATTAAGTATATATATATATATATATATATATGTGTGTGTGTGTGTGTGTGTGTGTGTGTGTGTGTGTGTATATATGTGTGTGTGTATATATATGTGTGTGTATATATATGTGTGTGTATATATATATATATATGTGTGTATATATGTGTGTGTGTGTGTGTATATATGTGTGTGTGTATATATATATATGTGTGTGTGTGTGTGTATATATATATGTGTGTGTGTGTGTGTATATGTGTGTGTGTGTATATATGTGTGTGTGTGTGTGTGTGTGTGTGTGTGTGTGTGTGTGTGTGTGTGTATGGTATTTAGTAGAAAGTGCTCAATATCTGTGATAGAGCTAGCAAATGCAGTTGCATAGAGAGTTGTTGTTTGTGACGTTAGGTTTAATGCTTTATCATGAAAGCATGAAACCTAAGGTCACAAACAACTCTCCATGCAACCACACACACACACATATATACATATATATATATATATATATATATATAAAATAAGATACTCATGCTACCTATATGGGAAATTATATAATTTAATGAATATCAAAGTGAACTGAATTTTCTACCAATAAAGTGCTCAATATTTGTCTACAGCAATAATTGCAATAAAAAAGGTTAAATATGATAGGTACTGGACTTCATTATATATACATATTTTTATATATATATATAGATATAGATAGATAGATAGATAGATAGATAGATAGATAGATAGATAGATAGGATTAATACAAATATAAAATTCATCACTTAGCTGATTGATGTTATTTTCAGCATTTCAACTCTAGAGTTTCATAGAGGAACCCTCCAGCAATCGCTCCGCATGCTCATCAGGAAATATCACCGTTTGACTATATATATATATATATATATATATATATATATACTTATTACATGTTATAATTGTGATTTACATTTATTTTATAACTAGCTTAAAAGCCACAATCTGTGTAGTCTTTTAATCTGTGTTGGGCTAATTGGGACTCCTGCCCCAAACTAAAGTGACCTTTGGTTCAGCTTAGAAAACAGCAATGATAATTTTGAAGATAAAATATTGAATTCTTCCATTCACTCCATGGAACTTCAAAACCTCATTTTAATTCTGATTCAGGTTATAAGTCTAATTCCTGCCAAAAGACCAATTTGGGCTGAAACTCCTTTTGGACTGAATTTACAATTCAGGCTGAAAAATGTGTTCTTAAAATAACAAACTCTATAGAACTTCATGTCAAGAAACCACTCACTTTAACTCTGATTCTTTGGCATTTTGAAGAAATAAAATTAATTTCCTCAATTCACAAAGTTTTAAAACATAAATTTTTATATTCACAAAGTTTTTGTTTTACTTTGAGCTCCATATAAATTAAAAACTTTTGAAATCACCTCTTCATCTGGATACAAATCCCAATGCTGGATGTTCAAGCACCAGATGAAGAGTTAGATTTTCAATCTTGGGATCAGCTTGATTCAAGAAGCATAATATATCTATAGCAAGTGTGACCCAAGTTAAAGAGGTTTCAGACACAGATGTACAGAGACAATTTTCTGTTTATTTATTTAGATTATGATCATATATTGATAAGAAAATTAATTCTGCAAATATTATTAATATTGTAACTGAATCAATATTTTTTTTTCTTGAGCAATTTTTTTTTTTAATACGTACTCTACATTTATAAAGCCTTCAATTAAAAGTTAAAAGAAACAGCATGCCATCAGCCTTTTTCCAAAAATGTTCACAGGAATCTAAAGACATTGCTTTATATAGAAATATGCATAGAGTCTCCAATATTTGACAAAGTAACTTAAAATAACAATATAACTGTCATCAGTATCTGGAGACACAGTGTAAACTGAAATGCTGTGTCACCAGTATATTGTGACCTGGCAGTCAATGTGTTAAAGCATGCTTTGTCATCTGTACACTTTAACAGTTAATAGGTTGTATGTGAACATTCAACTTTCTTAATAATACTTATTCAAGTGTACAACAGCTAAAAAATCAATGACATACACCAGAAAAAAATTGTAGCCAATATCCAGTCCTCTTCATGGTATTGCATGTGTCACTTGCAAGGCAATTGGATGGCCAAATCACCAAAGTTTTAATTCTCTTTCTTCCTTTGCTAATGCCATTTGTCAGGTCTGGGGTTTGTCACTGTCACATGATCATGAGATCTATTATCAGCCAATCATATTCAGAAAAAAACTTTTTACTTGGCTATCAGAAGTAAATAAAATAATCACCTCAAGGATGCTTATATACTCAGACTAGCAAGGTTAATATATGTTGCCAGAGTTAATATGCCATGTTACCCAATGTTCAGAGGGCTTAAAGCACAAAACAGTTTTCTTAAAATAAGAAAAAATTGATCAAATATAGTAATGGTAATGGTAAGATTAACCATTTCCATACAGGAAACAAATGAAGTTCATTAACAGAACAGTTAGCACTGACGCCAATCGGAATTAGTAAATTCTTTCTTTTAAAATAGTTTTTCAGGAAATTAGGTTTCTCATGTTAACCAGCTGTTATCATTTTTCTAGTACTTTTTTTAATAATCTCACCCCAAATAAGGCAATAAAGCCACTAAGACACAAGGGTGTTTCTGAGTGTTAGAGAATATGAGAATATTGAGAGAACCAAAAAAGAACAGGAATTAAGAAGCAAGAAAATAAAGATCAACATCACATTTCAATTTTTGAAGATCTAAGCCAGTGTTTCCCATAGGTGCACGGAAGAGGTGGAATGATTGAATGACAATCAAAGATTTAGAAACAGTTTCAAAAATTTCATATGTCAAAAATAAATATGATTTCAAAATTTAGATTATTATTATAGATTATTTATAATTGCATGCATGAATCCCAGTATAAATTGTTATAAATAATTATTGACAGATTTTATCATTTTGATATTTTTGTATTATATCAAGTATTAAGAATATAGCAACTAAGCTCTGCAAATTGGAGGAGAGAGTTATCAATGATAATGATCTGAATTTGAATCTGTAGTTATCTCCCTTTAACCCTTGCTTCATTTTTTTTATTATTTTTGAATGTATTTTTTATTACATAAAATTTGGTTAGGAACAAGAAAATTTTCACTCAAAAATGCGACCCAGAGAAAAATGTTTGGGAACCACTGATCTAAGTTGACTGGAAAGCAAGAAGCTGGAAGAGAGTTCCAGAAACGAAAAGCATAAGAGAAGAAACTGTTAGCATAGAACTTACAGTTACATGTAGCCATTTCATCTGTAAAATGATGAGACCTAGCTGCCAATCGAGTACTGCACTTAAATTCATAAAGTATAGGCACCATAGAGGAAAGTTCATAAGAACAATTACCATGAAAATATTTATAAAAAAAAGGCATACAGAAGCTATGCTGCAGTGACAGGAAAATGACTGAAGCTGAGATACCAAGTCAGGGCCAATAACATTGCAGATTATTCTTTGTATTTTCTTAAGATTCTCTAAATATGTAGCATAAGAAGCAGATGTATACATAATACATATGAATACATACAAGAAAGAGTGATAGCAGATTCTTTCCTAACCTTTTGTTATTATTTTTTCTTTAAGTTACATATGCTATTGAGTTTAGTTGTTGCCGCTTTTGAAAATTCGAAAGTGATATGGCTATTGATATTTGGTATAATTATTTATTTGTGATTAATCTGATAAAACAGTTACACATAGCTGATAGTTTATACATTTCTAAAGGAATTGGTTATCATGCATGGCATTCATATGAGTGTCTAGATCTGACAAGGCTATTCCAAAACATAACTTCAGTTCTTAGATTAATATTTTGGTTTTGTATAATCATGCCCTGTTGAACAGAATTATTCCTAACACTACTTATTATACATTCAATTTCCTTATCTTGTATAAATTAGTTATAAGGGATAGATTCATTTCTTGATGGAGAGATTAAAAAAAGTTGTTTGCAATATCTAACAAGATATAAAAAAATAACTGGATAAGTTGAAGGATGAAGAGATAGATCTTTTTTTTTAATCATATCACCCTAAGCAAAGCAATAAAGCTGTTAAGACACCAGACAGTTACTGGGAATGAAGGAGAATGAGAAGAATTTAGCAAGGGAAAGAACAATAAAAGGACAGGTTTCATAAATGCAGAGGATGGCAATAGCATTTAGATCTTTGAAGATTATAGGTAGCAAGAAAGAAAAAAATCAGAAGAGAGTTCCAAAGGTGGGAAATGCAAAAAAAGAAACTAGTAGAATAGCGCTTACAGCTACAGCTTGCTATTTCAACAATAAAACAAAGAGACTTAGTAGCCAATCTAGCAATACACTGAAATTTATGTGGTCAGGGTACCAAGAAAGAGAGTAATATTTATTTTGAAAAATAAAAAATGTGGCACAAGGCTAAGAAGGGGGTTAAGGGAAGGCTGGGTTTCAATCTGTCTCATCTTCAACTTAGCTAGCCACAATTACTGACCCAAACATATAACAGTATTCCTTACACCAAAACATATTCTTACTGTAGTAAGAATATGTTTTGGTGTAAGGAATACCTCAGGTCTCTATGAAGTCCTAACTAGTTCCCATATTATACAATTTGTCTGTGTGGAGGTGGGTAATAAGCATAACAACCAAGAAGGAGAATTCATTAAAACAACTTCCATGAAAATATTTATAGAAAAGGCATTGAGAGAAGTAGCAAAAGAACAAAACATATTGAGAGCTACAAGTGATAGGAAGAAGTGGAGAGCCATTATCACCTTGAAGGGACACAGCACATAAAAGAAGAAAATAGGGAAGCCATATCACAGTGATGGGAAAGTGACTGAAGTTAAGATGTCAAGTCTGGATCAATAGCACTACAGACCCTTCTTTGGATTTTGTTCAGAATCTTGAGATATATAGCCAGAGCACTGGACCAAATATAGGCAGCAATATTCAATGCATAAAAAAAATAATAGATTTATTAATGTGAAAGATTCCGACATGAAAAATTTTCAAGCACAACACAGTGTACCAATCTTCTTAATAGCAAACTTACATAAATTTGAAGATCAGACCTTATATACAGTGCTGTGCAAAAGTAAGTGAACGCCTAAGATAATAGTAAAACAAATTCTCTCATTTTTTTTTCAAATAATCAACAAATCTTAATTAAACGATATATTCATTAACAAAAACCTATATTTTATGTTAATTTTGACTTTTGAGTTAATAAAAAAAATTAAAAGTGGTTATAATTGATTTAATAAGTTATCTTTAATCATTTCTAAGATACAACAGTTCAAAGCTTAATCTAATAATTGGACAATTTTGCTGTTTCACGATTATGGCAATTTTACTGTTATACCTGGTATATTCCACATCACAAAAATTCCAATAACTGTCAAAGTGCCATAAAATTCATCATAATAATTATCAAACGACAAAGTTTTAGAGAAAATGGAAATAAAAAGGGCACTTATACTAAATATCAGAGAGTGACAGTTGAAATTTCTAGAATACATAATGAAGAAAGACAGCTTGGAAAATTTGACACTCACAGGATATATTGCAGGCAAAAAGAACAAAAATATACAGCACATAACCTACCCAATGAGCTTGTGTAAATGGATGGCAGAACAGGGTTTAGGAGAGACAGCAAAAAAGGAAAATTACTAAGAGCTACAAAGAACAGGAAATTGTGGAGAGCCATGATCACCAACGTCCTGAATGAACATGACACATAGAAGAAGAAGTATAATGTTATAATTGCATATAGTTCACACCAGAACATCAAAGAAACCTGATGCACCAGAGGGTCATGCCCAACTTTCAAATGGTGGGTTGGGGGCATTACCACACACTTGCATTTGAAGGCAAAGGAAAAGATTTGTATTTGCATTTGAAAGCACGGTAAAGATTTTTCATACATGCAAATAGCTAAACAACTATCCAAGAGAAGAATGGGGACAGTTTCTCATGCACTGCAGCTGGAGAATATAAAATCCATGAATCAGACCAGGAGCAAGGGGTCTGCTTCACACCCACACAAAAGTAACTGACAAATTGAGGCAATGCATAAAATGTAATGTTAATTAATGAAGGTTCAAGTCTCATGCTATCATTTAATTGTCATCCCCCACTTTATTACATATGTATGAGGTTTTGAATTAACAAAAGAAACAAGTTTATTTCCTGGAGTTGTACAGACATTATCCATGTCTTTTCGAAGAAATTTATAGCTTTACTATTTTTACACTGATATGGCTGCATGCCATGTTAGAACAACTAGTATAAATTGTGTATTTGCAAGACACTAAAAGTGATGTACAGACGATATCTTCAAAGATACATGAAGTGGTTGAAAGCCTGTGTTAAACTTGCTTCTTCTGTAGTTTTCTTCTTTTTTTTTTTTTTTTTAGAGGTTTTCATAATTCTACCATGTAAGTAATGAAAAAGATTTATTCTATTGACTTTCTGAATATTTCTCTACCCAGCCCTTGGTTCAGCTACCAACAGGGGACATAACTCACGGTCTGAATGTGACCAGAATTTGATTGCAAAGCAGCAAAATCCCCATGACAAATGTGCCTCGTGGCAGTGCGCCAGCATATGTTTGGCTTCCGGACTCCTGATTGAGATAGATGTGTGGGTCAGATGTCCTACTTCCCAGTCCCAAAATGGCAGATAGAAACTTGGAAAAATCTGCAAGTTTACCCTTGAATTAAAGGGGCAAAAATACTTGGTTTTACATGCTAACATAGAAATTACTTTTGTGGCCATTGTGTCTATATAAAGCCTTTGTTCACATTTTGGCTTTCTCTTTTCTCCCAAAAGAAAATTTCTTCACAAGGATACCAGTAACATTTTTATTCTAAAATTTACATAACACAAGGCTCAAGAGCCACTCAATTGATTAATTCGTTTTTTATTTTCTTACTAACACTTTGCAGATTATTCAAAGCCATCTATCGCAATCAGACAGAAAATTTTTTAGATTTTTTTGGAGATAATAATGATTTAGTGATACAAGTTTTACTAATTAAACCATAACTGTGGGGATAAGAGGTGGATTCATACCTTTCCCAAGAGTATTTGCATGTAAATGAATATCAGTTATGTGCATGTGTGATACACACTTAGGCGATCGGGTATCTTTTGATACATGACTGACAAAGCAGATTTTTTCCTGCAGTAGGTTGCCATTTCTTTCTGCGGTAGACCAGCTGCCATCCAAGGCTATAGAACCCTGTCTCTCCTGCTACTTACCCATAGCTGGGGGGAGAAGAAGAAAATTCATACCCTTCCTAAGGGTATTAGCATGTAAGTGAACATAACAGATTCAAGTGGAATTCAAACTCAGCTCTCCAATTCCTCAATCCAAGGTACTATCTACTACTCCACTGTAAATGAATATACCGAGCCCAACAGGAATTGGAACTTGGCTCTCTGATTAACAATTCCAAGCCATTATCCATTATATCAACTGCACACCTAAGCTTACAACACCTGGTGTTCCAAAGAGGTTACTCATGTAGGTACTGACCAGGATCGATGTTGCTTAGCTTTGGTCATCATATGGGAACTGGTGCTTCAACAGAATGTAACCATAAGCCTTCTCAAGGTAGAGGATCACAATCAAAAAGTTTATGATAAAAATGATGTGTGATATTCTTATTAATCTTTTGATATACCCCAATCAATACAATAAAAAGCTACTAGGTTACAAAGAGTTACTGAGAGTGAAAGAAACAGAAAGGACAATAAAAGAAAAGGATCCAGGGAGATAGAAAATGACAATTGTCATTGCATTTAAATTTTTGAAGATCAAAGTTGGCAGGAAAACAGGAAACTAGAAGATAGTTCCACAAGCAAGAAGTGCTACAGAAGAATCTTTTACTATGAAACTTACAGTTACAACTAGCAATTTCAATAATAAAATTATGAGACCTATCTGCCAATCTAGTGCTATACTTAAATTCATAAATTTGAGGTACCAAAAAGGAAAGCTCACCAGACCAATTTCCATGAAAATATTTATAGAAGAGGCAAACGGAAGCTAATTTACAGCAGAAGGAAAGTGAGTGAATCCAAGATTCCAGATAATGTTGCCAATTCTTCTTTGGATCTTTAAGAAACTCTAGGCATATAGTAGAAGGCCCATACCAGATTTAGCAACAATATTCAATGCACATACAAATGGCAGAATTCTAAATGTGAAAGATACAACAGTATATAGGTGCACCTCCAAAAGCCTCAATGACCAGAGCTTGACAGCTGATTTTTTCCTCTGACCTAGCTCTATCAGTTCAGTGGTGGTGGGGGGGAGAACTGGCTGGTCACATTCAATGCCTCAAAAACCAAACTAATGACCTTCCACCATCGCCCATCAGAATTTTCACCAATCATGATGAACAGATATTCCCTCGGGGATGCCCTATACCTTGAGCACCTATTATGACTTAAACTCAATCCAGACCCAAAATGGAACACATATATATGATCCATTACTAAAGATGCTGGGAAAATGGTCAGTTTCCTTTACCATTCCAACAAGTACAATACTTCTCCTGCTATCCCTTACCTTTTTCAAGAGCCAAATCAGGCCAAAAATGGAGTACTGCTGTATATAAACTGCCCAGTTTTCACTTTCTACTCTCAATAGAGAGCAAAAGTGTCTCTGTGTCCAAATTATTTTCCACACTACAACCCCTTTCTCACAGATGGGACATTGCAAGCCTCTCACTTCTCTACTGCTATTTTCATGGTGAGCGTTCAGGTGAGCTACACTCCTTAGTTCTATCAGTCCTAACCTTTATGGCTAAGATCCACCATGCCATGCACATTGTTGCGAACAACAATCATTCTCTTCATATTCCACTGGTGAGATGTAAGTTTCTCTCAAGCAGCTTCTTCCCATGATTCACTACTTTGCTGAATGAATTCCCAAGTGGCTGCTTCCCCAAACAACAACCTTAACCTGTTCATGTCTCAGGTCAACCATTATCTTCCACATAATCCATACCTCTTACTCTGTAACCCTCTAACTTGAGTAGCTTCAAGGCCTTGTAAAGGGTGAACACCACTGTAAAAAGAAAAGATAGTCTTTTGTCTAGCATGACATAGTGAACCAACTTTCCAAGCAGCAGACTTACCAATTGATTCAATGTAATCATTCCACTTTATGTCAGTGAGACCAAGAAAGCAGAATGAATTGTGCTCGTGGAGGTTAGCATCAGCCATACTGATGGAAGGCAAAAAAAAAGTTAGAGGTGTTCGAAAAGTTAGAGGTGTTCAAATTAACAAGCCACCAGTTAACAAGTTATTTTTTTAGATCAGTTGCTAATTTGATTTAATCAAACCTATCAGAGTTGTTATTAAGACAGGTGTAAATAGTTGTGTCATCAGCATAGATACTGAGTCAGGAACTGATGACACCAGGCAGGTTGTTGATGAAAATAAGGAACAGAGTGGGTGAAAGAAGAGGGTCTTGGGAGACACCCATCTTATAAAAGGCTATCATGAATGAGTTATGTGATATCACTGATGGAGACAGTGGTATGAGGTGAAGAATATTAGGATGAGGAAAGATAAAAATTGACCTTTGACTTGAAGAGGCTAAGATTGTAGTGTTTAGGGAAGCATCTATGTGGGAGTCTGTTCCAAAAAGAAACATTTCTTGGAAAAAAGAAGTCTGAGAATATGGAAGAAATGAAGATAATTCAATTCTGTGGACGTGGCATGGTGTGCCCTAGCAGTAAAAATTTGAATTAATGGTGGTAAATAATGAAGCTCATCTGAACATTTGCCATTGAAATAATGACAGAGTAGCAATAGGCTTGCAACATTGCATGAGTTGGGAAAAGGTTGCAGTGTAGAAAATAAGTAGTAAGGCCATATTAATGATTTTGAATTCTGTCAAAGATTGGCAGTTCTAACCCAGTTATGGAAGCAATACCCCATTTTTCATCTAATCTGACTTGTAAAGATACAGTATGGAGGAAAGAATTAAGTATTTCCTAGAATTAACCAACCATTTTTCCAACATATTGATATTCTGTGCATGCATTTTGATCTTTTTTTTTCTTAATCATTTCATGCCAAGCAAGATGAGAATGCCACTAGTATGCAGGGTGGTACTGAGAGTGAAGGTGAGAGAAAAATCTGGGTATAGGAGGGACTGAAATCTGGGTATAGGAGGGACTGAAATCTGGGGTATAGGAGTGGGGACTGAAATCTGGGTATAGGAGGGACTGAAATCTGTGGTATAGGAGGGGGGACTGAAATCTGGGTATAGGAGGGACTGAAATCTGTGGTATAGGAGGAGGGACTGAAAAAAAAGATAAAAGCTGAATGGGGTTCAAGAAGCTAGAAGATGACAATTGACATTGCATTTAAATTTTTGAAGATTGTAGTTATCAGTGAAGCAAGAAAATGGAAGGGAGTTCCACAAGCAGGAAGTGTGCGAAAAGAAACTATTGGAGTAGAAGTGTCAGTTACATTTAAATAATTCAACAGTAAAAAGGATGGGAACTAGTTACACACTTAAACTCACTTAGTCCAGGCACCAGGAAAAAAGCTTGTCAGAGAAGTAGTCATGAAAATATTTGTAGAAAAGACATTTTGAAGGAAGGATATAAAGCATTCTAAATAATCATAGACTTTTTTTACTGTTATTTCTTTTATCTTAATTCGCTTTCTTTTTACACAACCCTAAAACTGATTGTTAATGATGTGCCTTGATTAGAAATAATAAAACAAACCTTCAGCTTGCTTTCTTTATCCATGCGAAACTCACTTTCCAGAGCAGTTACAGCCAATCAACTATATTTTATAAGATAGAATTTCAGTTTATGTAAATGGTTCTTTCAAATAAAATTCTTGATTATTTTTATAATTAACAAGGGTCAAGATAATACAGGAAACAAGAAATTAACTTAATCTCAGAACATCAGAAATATTTAAAAGAAATTAATTGTACTAGAAAGAAAACTGTTTCAAGAGTAAATATAGATTTTAAAAAAGAAAATTGTGGAGTCCAGAAAAAGAAACTGGCAGTTTAGTCTAATTTAGAAAATGAAACAAAGAGGAAATAGAGAGTTTACAAAAAGAAACCAATATGAAATTTCAACATAGATTAAATAATGAGTTTAGAAAAAGAAACAAAGAGGAAATAAAAGAAAAAATAATAAAAAGGAAACATAGAGAAATTTTTTTACAAACAAAGGAAATAATTCATTAAGATAAATAAAGAAACAAAGAGGAAATAAAAGAAAAAATAATAAAAAAGAAACATAGAGAAATTATTTTACAAAGGAAATAATTCATTAAGTAAAAAGAAACAAAGAGGAAATAAAAGAAAAAATAATAAAAAGGAAACATAGAGAAATTATTTTTCAAACAAAGGAAATAATTCATTAAGAAAAAAAGAAACAAAGAGGAAATAAAAGAAAAAATAATAAAATAGAAACATAGAAATTATTTTACAAACAAAGGAAATAATTCATTAAGAAAAAAAGAAGCAAAAAGAAAAAAAAAAATAATAAAAAAGAAACATAGAGAAATTATTTTACAAACAAAGGAAATAATTCATTAAGAAAAAAAGAAACAAAGAGGAAATAAAAGAAAAAATAATAAAATAGAAACATAGAGAAATTATTTTACAAACAAAGGAAATAATTCATTAAGAAAAAAAAGAAACAAAG